CCAGCGGATGATTCATTTATGGAGCCATTCATAATTTTATGTATTGGCACGTGTCTAATGTGTATTTATTACAAGACACGTGTCAATACACTATTTATAATTTAGTATAAATGACTCCATAAGCCGTACTCTAATGACTCCATAGCAAAACCGATAAATCCCTATGACCTTGAGTGATGCCTAAATCATGTTTTGCAATTCTGCGTACCTACGAAGGGCAATACAGTAAAAGGAACCATCTTCTTCCCTTTCCCTAACCCTCACGCCTATATAATGCCACCAAAACCCTAATCCTCATTTCCCTTCTCAGCGGCGCCTCTTTCCTCATTACTCAATTCACCTCAACTTTCCAATGACGACCCGATTCAAGAAGAACCGCAAGAAGCGTGGCCACGTCAGCGCCGGGCACGGCCGCATCGGCAAGCACCGCAAGCATCCTGGCGGTCGCGGTAACGCCGGAGGCATGCACCACCACCGGATCCTCTTCGACAAGTACCATCCCGGCTACTTCGGGAAGGTCGGCATGCGCTACTTCCACAGGCTGAGGAACAAGTTCCACTGCCCGACGGTCAACGTCGACAGGCTCTGGTCCATGGTGCCGCAGGAGGTGAAGGACAAGGCGTCCAAGGACAACGCGCCGTTGGTCGACGTCACACAGTTCGGATACTTCAAGGTCCTGGGCAAGGGTCTGCTTCCGGCGGATAAGCCGGTGGTCGTGAAGGCGAAGCTCGTGTCGAAGAATGCTGAGAAGAAGATCAAGGAGGCCGGTGGTGCTGTCGTGCTCACCGCTTGATTAGGTTCAATTTTTGTTTAATTGCTCGTTTTGATTTTTCGAATTTGTGCGATTGTTATGTTTTTGGATCTGGTTTCCTGATATACTCTTTAGATATTTTTAATATGGATGTTTTAAATGACTATGGATTTGTTTCTGGTTTTAGGCGATGTGATTGCTGTGTTGTTATAATTAGATTTTGTATGCATTGTTCTTGTGGTTGTTTAGCTGCAACTGATTAGCACTAATTTGTAGCTCTAATATGCACAGCTGACTGCTACTGTTGGTACATGTTTTGTTGTGGTCTGCTTATTTTGAAAATACATCTTGTGTTTTTGAATGAATGTGAATAATCAATGTAGAAGATAATCAAGCAACTGTGGTGTTTTGGGTCTGTGTTTGTTCTTGGGTAGCTGGAGTTTTGTAGTTCTTGTAGAGTTTATGTTTAGCTTGGGTTTATCAGAATTTGTATGCATGTTCTTATATGATTGCTTAACTGACTAGGACTAATTTTCATAGTTGGCTGTTACTGTATGGAGTCTGCTTATCTCAGAAATGCTTCATGGGTTTTAGAATGAATGTGAGTGATTGATGTCAGAGATAACCATGAGAGCAACTCTGGTGTTTTTTCCCTTGCTGATGGATTTTGTTTAGGCCCGTGATTGTTCTGTGATAGCTGGAATTTTGTAGTTTTTGTAGGGTTTGTGTTTAGGTTGGTTTAGATTTTGTTTACGTGTTCTTCTGTGTGTGTGTACTAGCAACTAATTAGAACTAATTTGCATCATAGGCTGTTGGTAGGTGTGCTCTGTTGTGGAGTATCCTTATTTTGAAAACACTTCTCTTTCTTACTGAAATGTGGATTTTCATTATCATCTCATGGGTTTTATAATGAATGTGAGCAGTTGATTTAAGAGAATCTTGAGGATAGTTATGATTTTCTTTTCCCATTTGTTGATGAATTTCATTTCGTTTCGTGATTGTTCTTGGGTAGCTGGAGTTTTGCACCTTTTTCTAGGGTTTTTGTGTAGCTTGATCTTTAGCAAAAGTAGATAGTTAAAGCATCATGTAGATGCACTTCACCCTCTTAAGATCTGTTGCTATTATGGTGTTCCATATGCATCTCATCCTAGTCTAGTTATTCAGTGGTCTTCCTCGAATGACCTTCTTTGCCTACCAGACAGTTTGTTTGAATGGGAAAGTTGCCCTTTGAGCTATGTGATTTGTGATGTTGTGTTATTGTGTTGGCGAGATTTGAACGTGTTTGTTGGGGGAGGCAAATTGTGCCATCGTGTTATTGTTTGTATTTTTCTATCTTTTCTTTTGTGTTATCTGTTTTGTTTGATCATTACTATGATCCTAAATTTTAAACTTTTTTGTGTTGTGCCTTTTGTGTTTCGTAATGTGTTTCATTGTGTCGATTGTTTTCTATAAGTTTGTTTTGTTTGTATTGTTGTGTTTGGGTTGGGATGTGCTTTTACATTGGCACCCTACATTACATGTTATTGTAGTGAATTCTGTTATTCATTTATTATTACCTTCTTGTTTATTCTTGATTAATATTCAAGTTTTATATATAAAATAACTAGTAGAAGGGCTAATAAAAAGTTATATCTATTTTTTTTCCAAGAGATTTTTTTTTTTTTGTGTGTTTTTAAGTTTCAAATAATTATTAAATATTATATCATTGTGTATATTAAAAGTGATATCTGTTTTTGGTTCACCTTACCCTTTTATACTATAAAAAAATTTGCTATTATTTAATGTATTTAATAGATAGATTATATTAGTTGATGGATAATTTTTACATATTTTTTTTATTATTGACGGATTATATAATTTTATCATAAGGGGAAAACATATATTATTTATTATTAATATTTATTTATATTATTTATAATTTTAAAATTCTTAGTTGACATGAATATTAGCCTATATTTTTATGAACAACACCAAAGCACCAAAAATTGAAATATAGGACTACAAGCCACTAAAAGCTTATATATAGAATATCTGAATTTGTATAGTGGAGGCCGATGTGAATTAATAGATTATGAATCAGTTAGTTTTAATATCAATATGGCAATGAAATCATATGAAATTTAACCTATCGGAATCCACCCCAAATTGGTCATATTGCATGTTTGGGCCAACATTCCTGGGATAACTTGGCTATTGGACCCAGCAATTGCAGCCCATGGGCTTTTTGAGATTAATGATGTGGGATAAGGCGGACGGACCATAGTACGTTTTTCAGATCAGTGTGTGTGTTGTGTGATGATATGCTACATATTTGTGATATATAATGTATTTACGACATTTAAAGAAATGTTACTTTTTTTTTCGACATTTATCCAAAACTCTCCCTTTTATGTATTATCATAATACGTAGCTATTATACTTTAATTCTTATATGGCAATGTTTTTCTTTTTTTGTTAAAAAATAAATGTTATATTGTTGGCTAGGATTGAAAAATAAATAAATCTTATTACTTATTCTATAAAACATGTCAACCCCTTCTTTTTGAAACATCAGATAGACAGAAAAACACACATTTTGGACATTGTTTATTAAAAATCTTAGTGCCTATATTTAGGGGCCAAGACTTGTTACTTTCTTTAGCCATGGCCAATAAGCACAATGAAAGTTTAAATCAGCCACCATCTATATCAAGGTGGTTGTCCCTATAGCCCACCTTCATAAAAGTGACATCCCTTTGTCTAGCTATTGACTAAGGCGTAATTAGCCGAGCCGAACTCGAGCTTAAGGTGCTCGAGCTCGAGCTCGTTAAATAAATGAGCTAAAATTTCGAGTTCGAGCTCTAGCCTTAACGAGTCGATCTGGAGTTTTAACGAGTCGAACTATAAAAAATAATATAAAAATTATAATATCGAGCATTATTGAGCCGAGTCGAGCTCGACTCGTTTACCAATCGAGCTTTAAATGAAATCAAACTCGACTCGTTAAGGCCTCGAACTCGAGCCGAGTGAAACCAGGCTTGTCTAATTTAACACACTACTGTTGACACTCAGTCTCACAAGATGGAAAAGGAGAAAGAAAATCAAATCAACCACTAAGAG